ATAAATTGCTCGTGTTGCATAACATTGCTTCTGTCTTCATTTTTTTCTCCTAAAGTTTGCCTGTGTTGACATTTTCATCAAATCAAATATGCTTCCCCTATAATTATTTGAATTTTTGCAGATTATTCTGTTTTACTTTATGGGTATGACTATTTTGTCTGCATGCATGTATGTGCATCAGGTGTGTACTAGGTTCCCATAGAGTCCAGAAGAGGATGTCAGTTTCCCTAGAGTTACTTACAGATGTTTGTGAGCCACTGTGTGGATGCTCAGAAACAAACCTGGATCCTCCACAAGAGCAACAGCTGTTCTGAATAACTGAGCCACCTCTCCAGCTTTCTCCCTCCCTCCTAATCATTCGAAATAAGCAAACACTATTAAAGTAGAAACTGAATAGCCATGGAACGATAAAACACCTCTGGTGGATACTTCTCTTGCCTTCAATGGCTTAGCACCTTTACAAACTGTTCTTATGCTCAAAGAATTTCTCACCTTATGATTCTGAAGGAAGGCACATTTACCGCATCTTTGTTTCAGTGTATGTTAGCCTGTGTTAGAGGAAAAATGCACCGAGATCTCATTTCAAATTGGAAAGATACATTGGCCAAAGGTCAAGGATATAGATTTATTGTTACATAAATTCCTCCTATTTTTTTTACGACAGTTCTTTTTTAACTCCCCACATTTCATGTTTGTGACATTATTCATGTTGTAACAGTGACACCCAATGCACACTAATCGATAATGTATTGACTAATTACTAATTAACTAACTTCCCCTTTCAGTTTGATGATTAGCAGCTAGAAGATAGCATATGGTATGTTGAGTTGACTTCATAGAAAACTATTGGAGATATGACCTGGTATTTCCCAGTTGTCAGTTGGCAAGCAAGAGTCAAGTTAGCATTTGGCATGTATTCTGCAAGTTGGTGGCTGGAATCATTGAGTCAGAAACTCTTCATTTCAGAGCATCAAACCCCAAACCCAATGCAAAACTCTCAGCAATTCAGCTGTGAAGACAAGAGCGATGAATATTGGTGAAACTGGCGGTATCCACCAAGGGCAGCCCGACTTTTTCTTTGTAGGGACGTAAGACAGTTAATTGGTAAGAGAAGAAATGCATTTCTTCTTTAAGTGAAAACATTCAGGATTTTTATTTTTTAAATTTGACTAACATTGCAATAGTATTGACTGTCAACTTGGCAGGATATACCATGGCTGAGGAAACAAGCCTCCAGGCACTTCTGTAAGGGATTCTTATGGCTATAATCATGCCTGTAATTGGTCAACTGAGGTTGGAAGGTCCACAAGTGACTGACACTCTTCCCCTGGACTCTCTAAAAAGGAAGAGAGCTGAATACAAGCAATTGTCTTTCTCCACTTCTTGACGGTGGACACAAGGAGACTGGCTCCCTCTAGTGCTTCTCACTTTGCTTTCTCTTCCTTGATGGACTGTGGTCTTTCTCTCTTAAAAAAAATAACCTGGGGCTTATACAAGGACACTTGGCTCAGCCTGGGAGGAGGGGACTGGACCTGCCTGGACTGAATCTACCAGGTTGAACTCAATCCTCAGGGGAGTCTTTGCCCTGGAGAAGATGGGAAATGGGGGTGGGGGGGGGCGGAAGGGGGGAAAACAAGGGAATCTGTGACTGATATGTAAAATTAAATTAAACTATAAAATAATAAATAAAATAAAAAAACAAGA